AAGTTTTATCATTTATTATCTAAATCTACTAAATTAGAGATGCCGCATCGAAATGGTGAATAGTTTTTTTTTTTTGGAAAGGGAAAAAACACAAATATCTGTGATAGTACAGTCATACTTTCCGGTTTTAAGGCTGGGACTTACGTTATAGGTATTACTAAGACTGCGACCTGCATGATGAGCTACGATAACCACTTAGCACAAGCTTAGCCGTGAGGTTATTCACCCGTAAACGTTATCTATACTAATATTATAAAGCTGGTTAGTTTTTTTTGTTTGATTGGTTCGATTAAAAAAAATCTTTCACTCTTAGATAGTTCATTTATTGAGGAAGGCTATAAGCTATATAACATCACGCTAAGACCAATACAAGCGGAGCACTAATGAAGAAGCTTCTGCTGCGTGCGTTGCCGAATCGGTTAAAGTTTCGCTAAAATAATGTATGACAGAATGTTTCTCCTTTAAAAGTTCTAAAAAAGTCCGCGACAACATATACTGACATATATTTTAAGGTTGGCTCACTACCTATAACTTTCTTATGCTAACCAAATTTGTTCTAAAATAAAGCATTATTTGTGAAGGTGTTTTTATGGAGATGATAATAATCCCTATCCAAATAAATACGTTATTCATTATAAGTAATTACCTAATTTTACATTACAAGTAATTAACTTAATTTTAAAGAAATTTGCCCCTTACATCATTTGATTTTATGAGTATCTTAGAAGATATCGCAGTTTTAAAATAACATCACAGAAAAATAATGATCAAGGGCGTAATATTGATGTACAAGGCGCCGGCCGGTGCGGGCGGCGCAGAATGAGAAGAATAAGAATAAACCCCCACTTCAAGATAGGCTTTGAAAATTGTAGATTTTTCTGGGCTCCTCCAGGATCCTATGCTCAGATCCTGATCCTGATGATTACAGAACCATTCGGGAACTCTACCCTTTCGAACAAAAAAAAAGAATTCTCAGAAACGGTTCAAGCATTCTTGAGAAATCGGTGAACATACATAGATAAAAAAATGTTGGTCGAATCGATAACCTCCGCTTTTGAAGCCGGTCAAAAAGCGTGATTTTGGTACTTTAAATAGCTCCTTAACATTATATTATTCAAAAATATTTTCACCTTCTACGTAAATGAAGTCGCGGGTAAAATTTAGCGCTATCCTGTAGTCACTATTTCACGCGGACGAAGTCGCGGGCAAAAGCTAGTAATTAATAAAAAGAAATAATTGTATTGTACTACCGCTCAAATGTAACTACTACGCCTACTATGTAAATATTTGAGCTGAACCAATGGAATGGTGTTAATTCATAAATGCCAACATTGAATCTTGTGTATGATATTACTAGATGCTACCCGCTGTTTCACCCGCGTGGTGAAGGGATGGTGTCAATGAGTTATGTATCACTGTTAATACCACATGTTCGCGCCGACGTTTGTGTCATCCGTATTTCAAAAATTTCATAGATTATAGAACCACTTCGCCATTGCACTCAGGCACGCAAGCACGTCGCATAAAATAAAACAATCAATCATAAATCCAGAGTTTAATTTTACATAAATTAAATTCCAAATGTCCATACGAGACACCACACAATTTGTAAGCGTGATAAAAGCATGATGACGATCTCTGTCGTGTAAAGAGAAACTAAAGATTTACGGACCTAACACACAACAATCTGGACACAAATCATAGATCACTATATTGTTTGCAAAATAGCGTTTATCTCACAAAAACTTTGATAATTATGTTTGATTCCCATAATATCGATTAATATTACAGGAATTCTAAAGGTAATAAAACATAATAGTTTCCCGTAGAAATGAGATAAAAGGAAGCCTATGCAACTCCCTGACTCAATACCATCTTTCTGAATGAAAACGTGAAAGAAAAACAAACAAACACAATTTCTTATTTATAACATTAGTAAATATATTATAATATCAATATTGGATATTATTATTATTCTGAGCGAAGTTACTGTCGAACAATTTTCACTGTATCAAAATCATTTCACATTACGCCTACGATAGTTTATTCTGACTAGAGGTCCCGCAGTAGTCGAAATTCGACTATAATTGTAAGTTTGTACACTATTATGATTGTATTTTATACTTCTATAATCACAAATTTCGCCAAGACTACACTATAAAAAATATTAGCAAAGACAAACAATATTTAATCTCAATTTGACAACAAACGTCAAGAAGAAAAGTTTGACAATAAATAGTATGCATGCGTGTGTGCGTCAGATACATGGTATGTAGTGTGTGTAATGTTTTCTTTATTGATTTAATGTATCTTTAATGCATTCTTTAAAAAAAAAAATTAGCATTGTGCACTTCTTCTCTATATTCTCTATAAGTATGGAAAATTTCATACTCCTCCGTCCGCGCAATTTTCGTAAAAAGGGATACAAAGTTTTTGCTTCACGTATTAATATATAGATTATGTTTAGCCGAAATCTTGATAAATATATTTGTTCACGTTAGATGAACACGGTCCTGTATTTAGATAAGGCTATTATTAGTAATGTTGGCTTGAAACGATTGCATTGAGTCTTCATGCTTCTCATTAAGTTTACAGTTACTGTTATTGCTTAAGATTTATATTCCTTACCAATGCTTCCTATTTATTTTCTCACCAGCCGCGTCTCGTGGATTCAGCCCCGCTATTTTTTTATAACGTAAATATTTTTCTTTTTTTATTGCTTAGTTGGGTTGACGAGCACACAGCCCACCTGGTGTTAAGTGGTCACCGGAGCCCATAGACATCTATAACGTAAATGTCGCCACCCACCTTGAGATATGAGTTCTAAGGTCTCAGTATAGTTACAACGGCTGCCGCACCCTTTAAACCGAAACGCATTACTGCTTCACGGCAGATATAGGCAGGGCGGTGGTACCTACCCGTGCGGACTCACAAGAGATCCTACCAACACTTTGCTTGTATCATACACTACCAGATGATTTGCAGATCCATTGTCACAGTTATTGTTCGTACATTTTATGACTGACATACCCGTTGTTGTCATTTACCATATTGATTTGGATTTGGATCCAGTATTGTACAAAATTCCATCGGACTCGCGTTGCCGGCGGCTCGAATTAAGAAAATAAGCAACTCTTTTAGGGGGCTGGGTGTACAGCTTTTCAACAAGATCCCACTAAACGTTCAACTACTACCTGTTCATAGATTTAAGAAAACTGTTAAGGAACGTTTGTGCAACAAGGCATATTATAAAGTTAAGGATTATTTACTAGATGGCACTACGTGGGAATGAGGCGCTCGNGTTGCCGGCGGCTCGAATTAAGAAAATAAGCAACTCTTTTAGGGGGCTGGGTGTACAGCTTTTCAACAAGATCCCACTAAACGTTCAACTACTACCTGTTCATAGATTTAAGAAAACTGTTAAGGAACGTTTGTGCAACAAGGCATATTATAAAGTTAAGGATTATTTACTAGATGGCACTACGTGGGAATGAGGCGCTAGCTCCTGGCCTTTTCATTTTTCATTATTATTATTATTATTTTTAATTGTATTTTTTTGACTTGTTTTTTCTTTTATTGTGAATATTTCTATTTATTTAAAAAAAAGAAAATATTTGAGAAAAAACAAAAAAAAAAGCCCGCTGAGTTTGTTTCGCCGATTCTTCTCAGGACTGTGGCTTTTTTTGGAACCGGTAGTAGAGTTAATATTGTTATTTGTATTTTGACATTCAACAAGTGTGTCATACTGATATCTAAGTTGAAATAAATGATTTTGAATTTGAATTGAATTTGAATTTGTTTAGGCGTTATTGTGTGAATAACAAAAATTAAAATATACAAACTTTCACGTTTACAATGTTAGTATGGACTGGACAACCTTTTCATATTTTTTAGTGTAAATTAAGAATATTAATTCGAAAGTTACAAAAAAGTTCAACTATGTTTTTCTCATTTGTTATGGTACCAGAAACAGATTAAAGACTAAAAGACTAAAAAAGTACATCCAAACCTCGTATAAGAAATATCTTTATCGAACAAGCGTCACTAGACTAATTTGACGATCAATACAAACTAGAGGTCCCGCAGTAGTCGAAATTCGACTATAATTAATTGGAATCGTAAGTTTGTACACTATTATGATTGTATTTTATACTTCTATAATCACAAATTGCGCCAAGACTACACTATAAAAAATATTAACAAAGACAAACAATATATAATCTATTCTCAATTTGACCACAGACGTCAAGAACAAAAGTTTGACAATAAATAGTATGCATGCGTGTGTGCATCAAATACATGGTATGTGTAATGTTTTGTTTATTGATTTAATGTATCTTTTATGCATTATTTGAAAAAAATATTAGCATTGTGCACTTCTTCTCTATATTCTCTATAAGTGTGAAAAATTTCATACTCCTCCGTTCGCGCGTTTTTCGTAAAAAGGTATACAAAGTTTTTGCTTCACGTATTAATATATAGATACGATTTTGTTAATGGGCGAATAAGAATAATCTGAAACCATTGAAATCTTATATCGATTGTGAATCGATTGTCGTAAATCCGACTCTGGACCCATTGTTGCTGTAAAGACTTATATGGAAGCGACCAAAATAAATCACGAACAAAACCATATCGGCGCGATCTTATACTATCTCGGCGGGATCGACCGCTGGGGAGATACATCGCGATACAAAGGTATTACGCCATTGAATTAGCATTACCGCTCTCCCCGATAATGTTACTAGTGTGGACACATCCTGTGCGTCAAATTTCGTAAAGCATGACTTTCCTTCAACGTGCGGAATTCATACGAAATTTCCCGCTGCTGATAAGATTGTACGTCTCCACTAACGTTGGAATGTCAAAGAATCTTCGGCACGCGAGAATGGCATTTCCTCAGTTCCCTATCAAAGTTATTGCATCTCTTTTCTATAAACATACATATCTGTAAAACGTTTGTTGTGTGCTATAAATTTATTTAATTATTTCTGTTTCAGGAGGCTCATAGAACTGAATGAACTTGACATCAAGATCTCCACGCATTAAATGTGAGTTACATTAATTTCTAAAAGTAATTTTCCATTGTTTTCAATGAAGGCCCTGTTTACGTTCGCGGAAGGTTACTAATAAACATAATATTATCATGAAGCGTATTGAATACGCCATTACAAAATCATTATCTTGAAAGTATAATTAACCAAATTGTATTTCTATTGTCGATAACATATCTCACATCCGAAATGAATGAAACGTTGACCTGTATCGATGCAGTCTCGTAAACAAATAATATGGCTTTATTTGAAATGACGAAATCTCGTTCAAGCATCGAAGATGGTTCGAATGTATACGATGATAAATCCATTGATGGTACTGACAAATGGAACTATTATTCAATTAGGATGAGTTCGGGTGCCCCGTGCGATTGTCACTTGACCGGCCGCACCCCGAGAATCAAATAATACGTTAACCTCAATAATGGTATCGTCGATCTATTGCCGGAGGTTTATCGGATGGATGCAAGAGATATTGAATAATAATTGGTGCACACGAGGTGGGTCCGCGCGGCTTCACGATAGAGATCCTATCAGGAGAGCGTGCCGCATCCATCAGGCTTCGATAGGTTGTATCTGAGCCGGTATCGCGCACCAACGATAACTATTGTCTTAAAGAACGATTTTATCTGCGAAATTTGTGATTCGGCTTTGATCGACCGTTTGTCTTTTACCGCAAATGAGCCAGATAATAGCGGACGCGGTCATGAAAGGAGCGAATTTCTCCTAAATGTTTGTCTAGTCATCGCTTTGTCGTGAGAAACTAATATTATCTTTACAAGTTATCGTGTACTCGCTGCCACTTTTATGAAATAATTGCTAAAAATAAATTGTTATCGTTTTTGTAATGTATTTATTAATGTTTGTGACTATACATTTTATTAATTTACACCTTATGCAAACACTAGGAAAACTTCAATTGTCACCAAAGTTTTCGCACACTACGCCTTTCTATATGTTAATACGTGAAGCAAAAACTTTGTATCCCTTTTACGAAAATTGCGCGGACGGAGGAGTAGGAAATTTTCCACACTTATAGAAGATATAGAGAAGAAGTGCACATAGCTAATTTTTTTTTAAAATAATGCATAAAAGATACATTAAATCAATAAAGAAAACATTACACACACTACATACCATGTATTTGACGCACACACGCATGCATACTATTTATTGTCAAACTTTTGTTTTTGACGTCTGTGGTCAAATTTAGAATAGATTAAATATTGTTTGTCTTTATTAATATTTTTTTTATAGTGTGGCCTTGGCGAAATTTGTGATTATAGAAGTATAAAATACAATCATAATAGTGTACAAACTTACGATTCCAATTAATTATAGTCGAATTTCGACTACTGCGGGACCACTAGTATTATGAGTTTAGTGAATTGACAAATGTAATTAGTACAACATTTATAAAAGGCCGTGTTTAAATTGGACGATTAATTTCGAGTTTAATGTTGGCTGCATTGAAACCGGCTGCTTCTGATTGCGTCCACTTAATAGCATTAGCATCATTGTCTCTGGCCATTAATAAGCCGTCGGACAGCTCTATTGGCCGATTTTCCATAACAGGCCGGACGGGACTTGGCTCCGGTGTCACGAATTAGTATCCTAATGGCCCCAGGGGAAGATATGGATTATGATATAGAGACTCAGTTACGCGTACCGACCTCATCGAACAATGGTTTTAATTCAGCATCAGAATTTAAATTTATTGTCCATTTAAATCTCTCATGTACTTTCCTGTAATATTTGTATATGAATGTTGTTTATGTTATTACTCTAGTTGTGTTTTGAATAAACGATAATATCTCGCTATTTAGTATTGCGATCGATTTGTAGATAGGAATGATACTTAACCCATAGGTTAAATTCTATCCATGAATATGCTTTAGTCTCAATAAGTACATCTAGAGCAAATTGTTAAGTTATTGTGTATATTTGTTCATCTATCTTGCTAGCTACAGATGAACAGATGTAACAACAGATGAAACGTGGGTTCATTATTACACGCCAGAATCAAAAATTCAATCAAAACAGTGGACGCAATCGCGATGCCTCGTTCCAAAAAATCCATGACTGTAAAGTCGGCTGGAAAAATGATGGCTTCCGTCTTTTGGGATGCAGATGGAATCTTGATGATAGATTACCTTCCTAAAGGTCAAACGATTAATGGAGAATACTACGCTAATCTTCTAGATAATTTTCAACTGTGTATTCAGCAAAAACGACCAGGTTTGGCGAGAAAAAATCATCTTCCGCCAAGACAACGCTAGAGTTCACACATGTGCTAAAGCTATGGCAAAAATCAACGAATTGAAGTATGATTTGCTTCCCCACCCACCTTATTCGTCTGATCTAACGCCATCAGACTTCCACTTATTCCCTAAGCTCAAAACTTTTTTGGGCGGACAGAAATTACCACAAATGATGAAGTCCTAGCCGCTGTAGAGGAGTATTTTGCAGACCTCGAAAGATATCATTTTGTGGAAGGCATTACTGCTTTAGAACGAAGATGGAATAAGTGCATAGAGGTTCACGGAGACTATGTCGAAAAAAAAAAAAATTATCACGAAAAGTTAAGTGTTTTATTGTTAGGCTAGTTACTTATCATCCCGCCCTTGTATGTTTTTGTCATCCATCTCTTTCTCAAGCATTCGTACAATTGTTATAAAATTTGGTACAATTTTTATTGGAACTCTAAGATAGGTTTATTTCGTGTCATCTAAACACGAGAGGTGATCCTCCAGAAATTTCAAGGAATCGGTGTTTTTCATACAAGCTTTATTAGCAGCGTTCACAGGATTTCGTTAGTAGAGGCGGTATGAACTCAAGGCCCGCCTTGTACAATGTAGCTATACGAGCCCATAAACATCACGGCGTGAATGTCGTCGCTCACCTTGAGTCATGAGCTCGAAGTCTTAGTTATATAATTTGTAAAGTATGCTATAAATATTTGCAATGTAATTGAGATTTTGACTTGACATTGGACGGATGACATATTTGTTATCGTACACCTATACGCTGATATCAATCGTTTTTTTATCTCTGAAACGGATTAGATCTGATTGGAATTAATAAATCGGTGCGTCAATTTCGTCTGGCAGCTCTGTAAATCCGTTGTGATGTTAGAAGCGTTGCAACCGACCGTCCGAGCGTCAATTAAGACCAATTAACTCCGGCAGACTCACGGGCTCCTTTCGTCGGATGTTCACGAAGCAACGTTTTAGTTTTCAAAATGACTTAAATGACTTAAATTTTAAGCTATTAGTATCATTACCGTGGCGTCGTAAAGTTTACCGTGAAAATGGCACACCGAAGCGGTACGTCTAGTTTTTTTTGTTGTTCGGTAAAAGCTGTTTGTGACATAGGAAAAACTGATTTTGAAACAAAATAGAAGTTCGACAAGAAGCAAGCAAAAAATTGCGGTATTAAAAAAATTAATATAATGAGTACTAATATACTTGGTTTGAAAAAGGATGTATGTATCGTACCTTCTGAGAAGAGTTTACTTCAATAAGGCTATACGTCATGATAATCGCCTTATCGTTGCCGCCGCTGACTACTCCCCGAATCCTGATCACGCAGGAGCAAGTCACCGTCGTCGCCCTAGACACGTCCTTACAGATCCATGAGATCCAATAACTCTTGCATTAGATACCTTCAGCTCTAACACTAGGAGCAGGCTGAGGAACCCCGGTAACCGTACTAGTCCAACTCGACAAAGAGGTCGACGTGCAACCTAACCCATGTATCAGCCCGCTGAGTTTCTCGCCGGATCTTCTCAGCGGGTTGCGATTCCGATCCGGTAGTAGATTCATTCGCGAAGCAATTGCTCTTGAGTTGTTAGGTCTCCTTCGGAGGCGCTCGGGCAGTTGTTAGCAAATCCCACCTCTCCTGGCTGAGCCTTTGCTCGCCCACCTGTCCTGGTGAAGCTGGAAAGGCCTCCGGGCCACCAGTAATCTTTCAATCATAAAAAAAGAAGAGGTGAAGTAGCTCTCGATAGCGTTATGATACAGCTGTCTTTTGACAATTATTCTTTCTCATTCTCATATACGTTAATAGGGATGTCTATGATCTTCTATCATCATACCAAACACCACCGAAACAAAGACACGCCTTTCTTAAAACGAAGGCTGAAAATAGTTAATAAGTTGACGGTAGGCGGTAGTTACGTGTGTTGGTTAGCGTCCATGAGCAATTGGAACCACCTTCCCTCAAATGAGTTCTAGGCTTTTCTGACTTTATCGCAAAATGTACTGAATCCACCTACATAAAAATATAGTTATGAGTTGGGGCTGAGGTTAATTAAAAGTCACCGAAATAAAAATTAAAACTCAATTTAATTATAAGGTAGGCTTCACTGTCACAATTCACTTTCTTGGGGTGATCCGTTCGTCGCTTCGTTTCGAAGAGAGCTGTCTTTTTTTCTACCTTTTTAGCCTATGGAGTTTTTCCAGCTACGCTTGGACGGGTAGATGAGCTCACGGGCTTAATCTTGGCTCTGCCCCTGGCATTGCTGAAGTCCATGGGCGACGGTAACCACTCACCATCAGGTGGGCCGTATGCTCTTCTGCCTACAAGGGTAATAGAAAAAAAAAGAATCTACCAACGAATCGGAATCGCGACCCACTGAGAAGATCCGGCGAGAAACTCAGCGGGAACTGTCTTCCTGAAGACTATATTCACACTTTTATAGTCACTCGAATACCGAGGAAATGTACTAGAATACTCGAGAAATGTTTCCAGAATATTCGTGAGATGTTTAATATGTTTCGATGTCCGTTTTTGCAATCTGACGACACATACCGTAACTCATACCGGCTTAACAATATGTTATAATACTACTTGTAATTAATCATGATTACAGTTTATATTTATTGCAAGCATTACAAGAAATTCATGATAAAAATCGTTTATTAGGTACCTTTGACTTAATAAAAAAGGAACAAAGAAATGGGCCTGCCTCCACTTGATGTTCGGTTGTTATCGTA